AGAGAGAGAGAGAGGCAGAGACACAGGCAGAGGGAGAAGCAGGCTCCATGCACCAGGAGCCTGACGTGGGATTCGATCCCGGGTCTCCAGGATCACGCCCTGGGCCAAAGGCAGGCGCCAAACTGCTGCGCCACCCAGGGATCCCCATTTTAGATTTCTTTCTAAGTCGGCATGACTGTAAATAAATTTTGTTTAAACCAAAACCCTGATTTATGTCCCACATATGTAAACATACGTTGTACACCTGCCTTGAAAATGAGTAGCCTGAAGGAAATCATCTTGTTCTTAAGATACTGACCAATGTTCCCACTTCCTGCATTCCTTGACATTAAAACTCATGGTTCTTGGGATGCCTGGGTGGCTCAGTGGTTGAGCATCTGCCTTCCGCTCAGGGGGTGATCCCGGGGTCCTGGGATTGAGTCCCACATTGGGCTCCCTGCAGGGAGCCTGCTTCTCCCACTTCCTAAATCTCTGCCTCTCTCTCTGTATCTCTCATGAGTAAATAAGATCTTTTAAAAAAAACCTCATGGTTCTTACTTATATGCTAATCTATAATCTCTGGAGCTTCTGCAAGATGTAGAAAAGTAGATAACCCTCTAAAAACTGTTTATTCTCTGGAGCACTTTCTTCCCTGTGAAGAGCATATTTCTTGTGGCAGCTGTCCTAACTTGGGCTCAAATAAAACTCTCTTTTCAAGATTATTTATTTATTTATTTACTTATCTCACCTCTCTCCTTAGCTCCTGTAAGAGTCTTGTTGCTTCCCCATCTTTGGAATTCCCATGTCTGTGTGGATTCTCCATATGTATGCTATTACATTTAATTTTTCTCTTGTAAATCTGTCTCCTGTCAATTTGATTGTTACCCCAGCTAGAAGGACCTTGAGGGACAGAGGAAATTTTTCCTCCCCAAACCTCAAATATCATGTTATGCTATAGGTCAGCGAGAGCAATCTTTTTTGGACAAGTTACTCAGGGGAAAAATAGTAAAGGCAAGTATTTTAAATACATATATTATTTTTCATTCACGGTCTCTTTCCTAGGTTCTGATTACTACACGGTTTCTTTCTTTCTTTTTTTCTTTTTTTGGCTTCAAATACACAGCCCACACTAGCAAGCAATGTAACACAATTCAGCCTGTGCAGGTGAACAGCATTTTTGTAAGGTGAGCATCTGTGACACAGGGTAAGGGCCTGGGGAATTTCAGGGTGAAGATGAAATCTGGTGCCATGGGGAGCTTCTTGGGGCCTGGGGAAGCAGGAAGGGCCAATCTTTAGGGGATGGGCAGGAGAGCAGAGGGTGTTGGGTCTGAGTAGAAAACAGAGGGATAAACAGGAGCAGCGGTAATGGATGTGAAATACCACGTGAATCATGACTTCTTTTCCATTCCTAACTCACAGCATAGCTGAAGGCATTTTTTGAAACCACTTTTTCCTAAAGCAGGAGGTGGTGAGGGGGAAGGTTGGGGGAGGGAAACTTTAATGTTCCTCCGTTCCACAGAAGGTCACATGCTTGCCCACATCCCCCACCACAGGCTACTCAGCCTGTGACTCAGGTTTGAAGTAGTGGGGCGACTGCCCCACGCCCAAGCCAGCAGGGAGAGATGCTGTGAACAAGAGAGTCAATTGTTAGCTTCACTATTTTTCCTTCTGTGTTACTGATCTGTAAGCTTGGGCCATAACTCAGAAGCCAGCAGCCGACCCTTGAGACCACAGGCTTCTCTTGGAGAAGAGCCACTGCAGCGTTTTGATGAAAGGGGTTTGGCCACCTGCTTCTTCAACACCCCGGCTGCCTGTTAAAATTACCTTGGAATCTTATAAAAACACAGATGCCCCAGCCCAAGGCCTGGAGATTCTGATTAGAGTGTGGAGTGGGGCCTGTGCATCTGCATTTTGAACACATGTTCCATGCAATTCTGTGCTGCCAGTTAACTGTCCAGAATGGCATCTCGCACCTGCTTGTACATTAGAATCATCAAGCTCAAAAAAATCCCAATGTCCAGGCCACATACTAGAACAGTTAAAATCAGAGCCTCTGGGGTAGAGCCTGGATAGCATGTTTGAGAAGTCCCAGGTGACTCTAAAGCTCAGGTGAGGGCCGAAATCCATGCTGTCCCATCAGATCTCTGCCCATTGGCCTTCTGCTCCAGGCTCTCACAGGTAAGAGGCCACCTGACACCTCTCCCGTCCAGCTGTTCTGCCCAAACCCACAGCAACTTGAGCTTTCCCAGTATGCATACCAACCCTCACGTAAAATGAAGCCCCACAACTCTCCAGGCCCATACCACCCCAGCTGTCCACGGAGACTTCCAGGACACTCGGTAGCCTCAGACTTCCCTGGGAGTTCCCCCAGCCCTCTCACTTGGGAGCACAGGTGTCAGTCTCTACTCCCATGACCTGACAGCTTCATGTCTCAGTCAGAGCAGCAGACTCACTTGACACTCCTGCATTCCTCAAGCGGCCCACACCAGGGTCTATGCGATTCCATACAAAGTCTACACTGGGAGCTTGGCACTGGGCAGAGCAATGGTGCAGGCACAGAAATGAGAAAGAATAACCCATGTCTCATGGTCTAACTGGAGAGAGAAGTAAGGAGCCATCACAAAGCAGTGGGGCCACAGACAAACTTTCCCAAGTGAGGAATGTCACAGAATCACAGATAGGGTTAAAAGGAGCCTCAATGCTTATCTTATCCTGCTCTGCATCTGCCTCCCAACGTATGCCCACAGCGCAGGAACTCCTTTTATAGCATCCCTCAGCATCCTCCTCTTCAATACTTCTGGTGATGGAGAACTTACCACCTCACAAGACAGCCTCCATATATACATACCTCTTCCATTAAAACCTTTGTTTCTTCTCACTCTGCCATAGTCCACTGAGTTACGGATCTGCCCACCTGCCCTACTAGACTATAAAGGCTTTTTGGGCGGGGAGTGTATTTTGCCTCTCTTAGCTAGAACCTGAAGGGGAGCAAAATATACCACCCCAAAATAAGCCATTTTGGCATGTTGATTATTTTAAACCGGCTATTTTTTTAAGAAGGATTTTGTTTATTTATTTGAGAGAGAGAGCACAAGCAGGGGTAGCAGCAGAGGGGAAAGGAGAAGCAGACTGCTCGCTGAGCAGGGAACCCAATGCAGAACTCAATTCCAGGACCCTGGGGTCATGACCTGAACCAAAGGCAGACACTTAACCAACTGAGCCACCCCAGGTGCCCTAAATTGGCTATTTTTAAGAAGCAGCAGACATTGGTGACATTCAGAAAACCAAGTAGAAGTTGCCCTTTGTAAGAGACATTTACACTTCTAAGGGAAGTCTCCCACTGTCAGGGTGTCTCCTTACTGTATCAGGAAGGGAGGAGGGGGTGACTGTAGCAACTTATCAAAGAACAAAGCAGCCACTTAAATCTGCATAACAACCTTACCCTTGTTCAGTAAGTAGGCTTTTCCTAGTAACCTCCCATAACTGACCCCCAACATCTTTTGTCTTTAGCCTAAGGGGGTATTTAAGGTGATGGCTTTGACCATTTCAAGTTTTCCTGGATCTCTCCCAAGTATACAGGAGGTATCCGTGTTATTAAACTTTCCAGTTTTTTCTCCTGCTAATCTGTTGTATACCGATTTAATAGACCAGCCAAAGAAACTAGAAGGGAAGAAGGGGAAGCTTTTCTGCCACCACAAATCCCACCCTGTGCCTGGCACCCTGCAGGTGCTCAGAGGGTGTGTTGGATACTCAGGACTTGTGGGGCCATGATTCCTGGAGCAGCCGGAGCGTGACGGAGAGCGTGGGATTTCACAGGCTGGGACAGGTTGTAGCAGCCCCGAGGCAGAAAGCAGAGGTTGAGGAATCCAGTGAGACTGTCAGGATGCCAAGGGTGGGGGAGGATGCACACCGTGCTGACCATTCCAGGGCCCAGACTTGGGAAGGAACCTGCCTTTGAGGACACCCTGGGGGACTTGGGGGCAGGGGGAGGTGTCCCTGTGATGCATACCTTTAAGGCAATGCTTGACAACTGTCAGGACAACTGCCCCCGCCTGCCCTCCAGTGCTCTCTCTGCCCTCCTCAGATTCTGACTCTAGATCTCTTCACTTCCCGGTCCACTGGCCCCTAGAGAAATGCAACAGCCCCTCCCCCTCTCCCCAAGAAAGAGTGGAGGGGTGAACGTTGACGCTAGAAATGACAGAAAGTCCTCCCAGCCTGGGATGTGGGCATTCCCCGGGTCGGGAGAGATGGGTCCTGAGCCCTTGCCTGGGGACTCTGGCTAGTCCTCTTTCCCCTGACACTAAGTGGGGCTCCCCACCTTCCCTCCTCCACCGTCACCTCCCTCCTCCTCCCCTTCCCCTACCCCCCAGGCCCAGGACTATACTCGGAGCTGAGGTCTTGATGGATTTGCAGAAGAATGGGCTGTGCTACAGTTTGAATTCCCATGCTCTGTCCCCTTCCCCCCCACACTGCAGCCCACCTGTCTACAGTCACCTGGCCCTGTCTTAGGAACGGGCATCCCCAAATCTGTCAGGAGGTCCGCACCACCTCTTCCGCCAGCCAGGACACCGCCGGACCCAGGAATTGCTCATCAGGATCCTGGGCACAACCCTGGGGCTCCAGCCCGACGATAAATGTACCTGGAGCCTGGCACCAAGCTGCAGGACAGCGGGCTGGGGGACACCGGTCCTGGACAGAGCGGCCTCCAGAAGCGTGGGTCTCTGTCTCCAGAGCTGGCAGCCAGCCCTCACCTGCCCGCGTTAGGGTCCCGGGGGTCGCCCTGCCACTCGCACCTTTCCGCGGCTCTCCCGGCTCGCACTTCTGCTTTTCGGCGCGCCGCACCCAGCTTCTCGCTTCCCGAGGTGGGGCCGCCCCGCCCCCCGGCCCCTGGCTCCGCCCGCCCGTGCGGTCCCCTCCGGCTCGGGGACAGTGTGAGGGGCGGCCGCCTGGAGGGAGGAGGGCGCGGCCGAGGGCCCGCAGGGGAAGCGCTGGGCTGCTCCTCGCCGCCGCCCCCGGGGAGGCTGAGGCCCACCCCCGCCCCGCTGCTGGCTGCGGGCTAGGCTCCTAGCGGAGTCTGGGCCCCGCGAGGAGAGCCCCACGAAGGCCACCACGCTCGCCAGCCCCGGGGGACACGTCTGCCCTCCTCGGCCTCAGCTGGGTGAGTCACATTTCCTGGGAGGGGTCACTGCCTCCGCAGTGACTTTTTCCTCCTCCCCCAGACTTGTCTTTCTCCTTGCCCTGGATGCATACATTTGATTGATTGATTGATTGATTTTTAAAGCTCACTAAGGAGGGAGTGTCTGGGGTCTGGGACACATTCTTCGCTGTGTCCTCTATGTCAAATGCCTCGAGTCTACCCTCGGTCATCTTCTTTTGTTCACCAGATGTTTACACACAGTCTTGGCACTGGGCAGTCCGAGAGACAGCAATAGAAGGAAGGGTGGTTCCGGGTGCCTGGCTGGCTCAGTGGGCAGAGCATGTGACTCATAACCTTAGGGCTGTGAGTTTGAGCCCCACATTGGGTGTAGAGCCTACTTTCAAAGAGAGAGAGAGAGAGAGAGGTTCTGGCTTATCCAGGGGGCCATCTCGCCTACATCACATTGTAGGACCCCAGAGCTAGTCTTGCCAACTTGCTTGCACACTTTCTAGAGGAGGATGCTGAGGCCCTGAGAACACAAATGTCTGGCCCACGGTCCTGTGTGTCCAGACTCAAGGTCATCCAGGAATGAATGGCTGACAGAGGCAGTATAAGGGAAGTTTCTTTTTCTTTTCTTTTTTTTTTTATAAGGGAAGTTTCTATTTCTTTCTGAATCCATGCAGAGGGATGAAGCAGTTTGTGTGTGCTCCAGGAGCAAGTGGGCACCCAGTTACTTAACCACATGTGTGGCTCCTCCATCAGGACTCTGGCCTGCCTGTTCAGCACACAGGCCTGCCCTGGCCTAGGTCTGGTCTACGGCCCCACCCAGGAGGCAGCAATTTGAGCAGCAGAACTAAGTCAATCCACATGTTAAAATTTCTGGACCAGAACAAGGTAGTAAATTATCTATGGAGAATGCAGACTAGCTGGCATCTGAGTGTCTCCATGCTTAAACTGCTGGAGCTTAAACTTAAGCTCAGCATAGTCTGGGCTGTAGTACCAGCAAGAGCATTGTCCCCAGGAGAACCGGAGGCTGGACAGATCATCTGGCAGAGTGGGATGAGCTGAACAGTTTGACTACTTACTCGCTATGTTTAATCTGGAGCCTCCCCAAGCCCGACCTGTAAAATGAGTGGAAAGAGAAAGGCGAAGATTAAATGAGATCATAAAACTAATTAGCAAATAGATGCTAAATAGATAAACCTAGACTTCTTTTTCTTCCCAACAAAGAGGGTTTACTAGGTTAACCCCAGCACACATGCCGGCTGCCTCAGGAAATTAATGCCCCTGCACCCTCCAACCACAAGCTTGGTGTAGCTGGCAGGGGGATGGAAAATTATATCACACCTCACTGCTTCTTGCCCCCTCCCCTTACTTCCACCCTAGCAAGGCTATACCCAGGAGTAACTGGGGGGACTCCTAGATTCTGGACTCTGCATTACCCAGGACACAGGATGAATGGGAGTCACTGTTCTCCACATTTGAGCCTCGCTTGGTGAAACGTGGCCCCATCACCACAAAAATAAAAAGTTTCCTGAGTTAACAGCAAAACAAAAGAGCAGGTCACTCAGCTGGGGAATCCGAGCGCCTTAGCACTCAAAGCACGCTAAAACCTATCTGGCAACCGGACTCTAAAATTTGTTTTTTGGTTTGGGTTTTGTTTTTTGTTTTTCTTTTTGTTTTTTAAACCAGACTCACACTCACAGATGGAGTAAAAGAAAGCATTTCTTTAGCAAGGGCCCGCCCTTTCCCGCCCCTCCTTTCGGGAAGCGGGGCCACACGGAAGGCAAGCGGGTGTGCCCGAAAGAGGGGAGGGGGGAGCTACTCCCCGAGGAGGCGTCCCGGGCCCGCCGAGCCCCTCGACGCCCACAGGGGAGCGGGGCGCGGGCGCCGGGACCCCAGAGCGCCGCCGGCCTGCGTGCGCCTCGCGGGGTAGCCCCGCGCGGCTGCCTCCGTGGCCCCCGGCGCCCAGGGCAGGCAGAGGGAGCTCCCGGGGGCCGGAGCCCGGCTGGGGGCGCTGCTGAGCCGCCCGCCGCCCCTGCCGCTCCCCGGGGGACCCGGACGCCCACGTGGACCTAGAATCCAAGCGGCGTTAGGGAGGCTAACCCCTGCCAAGCCGCGCGGGGAACTCCGCCGGAGATTGCCCCGGCCACAGCCCGGGCGATTGATAGATCCGTGGCCGCAGTCACGCTAACTGCGGCTGTCCCCTCCGTGCCTGCTATGTACTGGTGCTTTCCAGGCAGACCTTCTGCCGTCTAATGGACGGACAAGTGTCAAGGAGGCTCAGAGGGGATGACTTGTCCAGGGTCTCACTGCCAGTTCAGCAGCAGAACCAGGATCCTAGCCAGGGCTGGTCTGACCTCAAAGCCTGGGCTAGGCCCGCAGTACCTCCTCCCCCTTCTCTCTATTCAGAGGAAGACAGGCCAGCCAGTGTCTGCCCCAGACAGCCAGGCCCTCCAGAAAGTGAGTCAAGCAGCACGTGGGCCACTCTTCCACCTTGGATCCTGAGTGGAGACCCATGAGCAGCAGGCAAACCCCAAAAGATATCAGCTGCCAAAAGGCATTGGGATCAGGCTATGGACCTGGCCTCCTGACACAGTGGTAACAGGACACTGTTTTCCTTTCTTGGGAAGCAGCTTGTTTTTATTATTTATTTATTTATTCATTCATTCATTCATTCATTCATTCCTCATTCATTCATTAATGAGAGACACTGAGAGAGGCAGAGACATAAGCAGAGGGAGAAGCAGGCTCCCCACGGGGAGCCAGATGTGGGACTCAATCCTAGGACCCCAGGATTGCCACCTGAGCCAAAGGCAGACACTCAACCACTGAGCCACCCAGGTGCCAGGAAGCAGCTTTAAAACTTGCAACTAAGGGAGCTGAGGTGGCTCAGTCAATTGAGTGTCTGACTCTTGGTTTCAGCTCGGGTCATGATCTCATGGGTCGCAGAATTGAGTCCTCAGTTGGACTCCATGCTCAGAGGGGAGTCTCCTTGAGATTCTCTCCTTCTGCCCCTCCCCACTCTTGTGCACTCTCTCTCCCAGATAATTAGTAAATAGGGATTTTATTTTATTTATTCATCTGAGAGAGAGAGAGAGAGAGACAGCACAAGCAGAGGGATGGGCAGAGGGAGAGGAAGAAAAAAATCCCAAGCAGACCCCATGTTGAGGGTGCCCACCCTGAGGCTCTAGGGCTTGATCCCAGGACACCAAGATCATGACCTGAGCTGAAACCAAGAGTTGGATGCTCAACCTACTGCACCACCCAGTGCCCCAATAAAACTTATTATTATTATTATTATTATTATTATTATTATTTTAAAATATATTTTTAAAAAGATTTTCCAACCAGCCTGAATTTCTCAGAGGCCTACTAACACAGGTTGGGATAAGGGAAACAGTTCAAAGCTTGGTTCTACCCCTTTCCATCTGGACTGTGCTGGGCAATGACACTTTACTGAGCAGCGCTTAGAAACTACCATCCCGGGGGATCCCTGGGTAGCTCAGTGGTTAAGTGCCTGCCTTCAGCCCAGGGCATGATCCTGGAGTCCCAGGATCAAGTCCCACGTTGGGCTCCCTGCATGGAGCCTGCTTCTCCCTGTGCCTGTGTCTCTGCCTCTCTCTCTCTCTCTCTTTCTCCCGCCCTCCACCCCCGTGTCTCTCATGAATAAATAAATAAATAAAATCTTTAAAAAAGAAAAGAAAAAAAGAAACGACCCTCCCCCTGTCCACCCTCCTCTAGTCAACTGCTCACCCTGCAGACTCAGTTGAAATATCTGTCCCCTGAAACAGTGATCTCTGCCTCCCTCCACTGTAGTCTCCAGGTGCTCTGAGCATCAAGGCTACTAGGCCACCTGGGTCTACAGCCTCCATGGGAAAGCTTTTCAACCACGCCCCACTAGGAAAAGTGGAATTGTATCTACGGAAAACCTAGTTGCCCTGGCTCACTTCCCAATGGTTGTGCCCTGCCAATGCCCAGCTAGACACAGTCTTTCAGAGCATTCTCATTTTCTACATTTTTAGGTAAAATTTACAGTGAAACGCACAAATCATAAGCATAATGAGTTTTGGCACATGCAAACACCCATATAAACCTATATCCTACCAAGATACAAAACACTTCCACCCCCCTAGAAAGTTCCCTTGCCATCATCCCTTTTTATTATCTGCTACACATGTGCCTCTCCCACCACACTGTTGGCTCCTTCAGTCCAGAAGCTACATCAGGTTATCCTTGTGAAATGAAGAGTCCAAAGGCAGCCATGACAAGATGGGCCACTTTGGCATGAAGACCATATTGAGTTAAAAAGCAATCAAAACCCAGCAGATCCAGAAAAAGCTCTTTACCCCCTTTCCCCAGCAAATGCCTAAAAAGTTTTAAATAAGGACCTGTTCCAGGAAGACAGCTATCACCATCAACAGCTACATTATCCTATGAACTAGGTGTGGTAGACGGTTAGGAACCTATCCAACTCATCTCTGATCAAAGTCCTCTTTGTCCCCTTGTTTGTGAGTGTCCTAGGAAACATTTGTTTATCAAACCTTTACTCTTTTTCATCTGCCTGTGAGTTGCATTCTTTCCCTTTGAAATCTCAAAACCCTACCTCCTTCTCCTTAACTCAGAATGGCATCTAGATCTCATTTTCCCTGGCTGGCTCTGGAATTTCCATGTCTGTGTGGGCTCCCTATATGTACACTATTCATTTTCTCCTGTTAATCTGTCTCATGTCAATTTGATTCTTAGTCTATCTAGAAGGACCTTGAAGGGACCAAGAAATACCTGCTCCCCAGGCACCAGCACCCAGCAGAGCACATAGCAGGTACAGACACTCAAAAAAATTTTTTTTAACTAAATTTTTATTCTAATTAGCAGACTAGAGAGCAAAATCCCTACATTCTAGTGTGGCCTCAAGGTACTTTGTCACCTAGGGAAAGTCACTTAAACCTTTTGAGCCACAGGTTCCTCACCTGTGAAGGGAGGAAAATAAAACCGTCATCCTATCTTGGGGAATTGTGGGT